AGTTAACTCCTTACATATACATATATTTATTTATAAAGAAATCCATTTTCCTGAAAAGCTCAGGGCTTTATAAAGCTTTGGCAAATACAAATTATGACAAAGTTTTTTTAGGTTTTATACAAAATGATACCGCAGTTTAACAAATAAAACTCCAAGCAGCCTTTTGCCTCCTTATACCTGAAACAAATTGGTCAAGTGCATAAAATATTGCTGGAATATAAAAAACGTTAAAGTGATACTAAACAATATCCTTGTTCTCCAAAAATAATGCATAAGCATTCAGTACTTAATGGCCCTGCATTAAATTTTTAATTAAATTGTTTCTCACTGTGTTTTTTTGCCTCCTTAAAACATCTTCCGTAAGATCCTAAAGGTCTCCTTTTACCCCTCACTTCCGATTAAGAGCAAGTTGGGTGAGGTCATGTGCACTGCTCTATACACACTACACTGCTCTATCACACTACACATCCCATAGTCCATAGTTCATGGTCCCTAGTCCATCTTGGGAGTGAGCAAGAGAGTGTGGCCATGCTCATTCACACAGTGGAACTATGGAGAGAGAGAGAACAGGAAAAAAAAAAAAAAGGAATTTGGAGGTCGAATAGAAGGTACTTTTTTGACAATACATGCTTGCATTTTTTTTCCCCACAGCGTTTAGTGTCACGTTAAATAAAACTGGAGATTATACAAAAGAAAAAGAAAGTGTTAAGTATTACAATAAACCACTAATTACTGTAAATCTAAATTCATTAAAATAGCTCTAACACACTATATTATTGTATACAATTTTTTTAACCAAATGAAGGCACACATGGTGCCTTCATACTAGCATTCTTGGTTGGTCATGGCACATTCACACCACATTCCATAACAAGCATTGCAGTAACACACAGCAACGCACTGTATGTTTGTTTTATGGTGCATTCCCAATCAGTGTCAACTGAACCACCAACATTTATATAGTTCAATGCACCTAAATTCAAAGATGTAAATGCTCTGTGAATTGCAATGCACTGCCTTTTAGAAAAAAGTTATGTCAGACTTGCTAAATTTCAATTTTTTTTCTGTTTTAAGAGCTCATTTAAAATTAATAGTTTGCCTAACACATCCTATTGCCTAACACACTTCAACATGTAAAAACTGCAGTTGTTGCTGTAAATAGGCCCTTAGACAAAAGCCCAGCACAAGCAACCTGCCTAGTGCTACTCTGTTCAATGTAGAGAAAACAAATCTAGTCTGCCCTGCTCCCCCTCTGTTTGAAGGGCCCAGCCTAAAGACCCATGTTTAAAACAACACTGATAAAAAAAAAAAAAAAAAGGGACAATGTCGGCTTTTATGCACAAATTGGCCTCAGGAGGTGATCCAGTTTTCATTCAATTAAATAAAAAGCTGCCTTTGGCTTGCCATGGTCAAGCAAAGAATGTTATTTGCCCATGGTCATCTTCTCAATGTTTCTGCTATTCAGTTCTGAGCTTGGAAATGATAGAGGAAATGATAGACTGCATACAATATAGAACCTGTTTAGGAATAATCTGTCACCTGGGCAACTCCAACTCCCTACCTACAGTGGATATAAAAAGTCTACACACCCCAGTTAAAATGTCAGGTTTCTGTGATGTAAAAAAATGAGAGAAAGACAAATCATTTCAGAACTTTTTCCACCTTTGTGGAACTGTACAACTCAATTGAAAAACAAACTGAAATCTTTTAGGGGGCGAAGTAAACATAAAAAACTAAAATAATGTGTTGCATAAGTGTGCATACCCTCTTATAACTGGGGATGTAGCTGTGTTCCGAATTAAGCAATCACAGTCAAAATCATGTTAAATAGGAGTCAGTACACACCTGCCATCATTTAAAGTGCCTCTGATTAACCACAAATAAAATTCAGCTGTTCTAGTAGGTCTTCCTTGACATTTTCTTAGTCACATCCTACAGCAAAAGCCACGGTCCGCAGAGAGATTCCAAAGCATTAGAGGGATCTTATTGATAAAAGGCATCAGTCAGGAGAAAAGTACAAAAGAATTCCCAAGGCATTAGATATACCATGGAACACAGTCATCATCAAGCGGAGAAATTATGGCGCAACAGTGACTACCAAGAACTGTCCGTCCCTCCAAAATTGATGAAAAGACAAGAAGAAACCTGTCTGGGAGGTTGCCAAGGCAACAACATTAAATGAGCTGCAGGAATATCTGGCAAGTATTGGCTGTGTGGTACATGTGACAACAATCTCCCATATTCTTCATATGTCTGTGCTAGGTGGTAGAGTGGCAAGACAGAAGCCTTTTCTTACAAAGAAAAACATCCAAGCCCAGCTAAATTTTGCAAAAACACATCTGTAGTCTCCCAAAAGCATGTGGTAAAATGTGTTATGGTCTGATGAAACCAAGGTTGAACTTTTTGGCCATAATTCCAAAAGATATTTGTGGCGCAAAAACAACACTGCACATCACCAAAAGAACACCATACCCACAGTGAAGCATGGTGGTGGCAGCATCATGCTTTGGGGCTGTTTTTCTTCAGCTGGAACTGGGGCCTTAGTCAAGGTAGAGGGAATTATGAACAGTTCCGAATACCAGTCAATGTTGGCACAAAACCTTCAGGCTTCTGCTAGAAAGCTGAACATGAAGAGGAACTTCATCTTTCAGCATGACAATGACCCAAAGCATACATCCAAATCAAAGGAATGGCTTCACCAGAAGAAGATGAAAGTTTTGGAATGGCCCAGCCAGAGCCCAGACCTGAATCCGATTGAAATTCTGTGGGGTGATCTGAAGAGGGCTGTGCAGAGGAGATGCCCTCGCAATCTGACAGATTTGGAGTGTTTTTGCAAGGAAGAATGGGTAAATATTGCCAAGTCAAGATGTGCCATGCTGATAGACTTATACCCAAAAAGACTGAGTACTGTAATAAAATCAAAAGATGCTTCAACAAAGCATTAGTTTAATGGTGTGGACACTTATGCAACCATATTAAATTTAGTTTTTGATTTTTACTTCCCTCCACCTAAAAGATTTCAGTTTGTTGTTCAGCTGAGTTGAACAGTTTATAGGTTACATTAAAGGTGAAAAAGTTCTGAAATGATTTATCTTCGTACATCACAGAAACCTGACATTTCAAAAGGTGTGTGTAGACTTTTATATCCACTGCATCCATTCACTAAGCAATAAAAAGGGTGAACCGAGTGTGAAATTAGGATAATGTACTCACAACAAACATCAAGTTGCATAGACAGATCTGCTTCAGTGTACATGGGCATTTAGGTTTTATTTCTGAAATCAGTTTGTAAGCATTTTTCACAGAAATATTAAGTTTTTCAATTTTAAACTTGATATTATGTGTTTATTGTAAAAACAATTGTGCTAGTTTGTCTTCATTCCTCTATATGGGCAGCACAGTGGCTAAATGGTTAGCACTTCCGCCTGGCGTTACTCGGGCCGTTGGTTCAAATCTCAACCACAGCACCACCTGCCTGGAGTTTGCATTTTCTCCCTGTGCCTCCAGTTTCCTCTCACACTCCAAAAGACATGCTGGTAGATAAATTGTCTCCTGTCTAAATTGGCCCTAGTATGTTTACGTATGAATGTGAGTTAGGGACCTTAGATTGTACGCCCTTGAGGGTTAGGGACTGATGTGAAATGTACAATATATATGTAAAGCGCTGCATAAATTGACAGCATTATACAAGTACCTGAAATAATAATATATAAGACAGTGTGGATTCATCTGTCCCACACTAAACTTAAACTGGCCATTTGTAAATAATTGTTTTGGATTTTACTTGCTTTCGAGTTTGAAGCCCATGTATAATAGCTATTATTAACACAAATGTAACAGAGGAGACTAAAAGTAAAGCTGGAATATATAACTGCTAAAATGTAAACCAGTTTGGAATTGCACCTGACATTTGTAACACTAGCTTTTTGATAACAAGCCAAATACAACCAATTGTAAGCTGTGATTAAAAATCTTGGCTTGTTGTAGTTTCTTAGACTAAGGAATGCAAGTTAGAAATGCTCCCACCAGATTTACCACCATTATTGCACTCATCTTTAACTGAGGAAAACTTTGTATATTTACAGAGTTACCAATGAGTATTATTTATAACATAACATCTGATCTTTTAAAACCAAGTATTCAAATTTATTAAACATAAAATGAATCCAATTTGATGCCCAAATCCTGCCAAAATGTGTTTTTTTTTTTTTTTTCATTTTGAATAAACTGGGAAAGAGTAAATACTTCTGTCATATTGTTACTGCTGTAAAAGACCCTGTTGGGGAGATGGCACCGGATTTCCAGTTCCTTTGACACCATAACAAGAAATGAAGCTAGACGGAAATATAGAGATGTAAATACTAACTCAACAAAGGTTCTAACCCTTTACTACACTACTAAAAAAAAAAAATGTATTTTGTTAGTCTGTGTCCCCACTAGAAAGGTTTCCCATCACAAAAGAAAACAAGGGGAACTTCCCAATGTATGCACAAACTTCACAAAAAAACCTATATCCTTTTCTTACTCTCTCCAAAACTGAAAAATGTTTGGTTTAAGTTGGACTTTATATTTGAATGCATCTTTCATCATAGATGCAAAAGGATCATTTCTATAGTGCTCAAGTTTTTTTTTTTAAAGACTTAGTGAATAGTAGCCTTCGTAGCCACTGTAATATTACAACCGTACCAATGTTATCTGAAAGAGTGAGATTATATATATTTGTATGTTAGCCAGTTTCAAGATTATAACCTTACAGATTACAAAAGCGCTGTACAATTTAGTATGAAGAATATAGGCAAAAAGAGGTTAAACACAGGTTGGCAATATGGAAGCCTATTTACAGGCACCAGAGTGATAAAAAAATGTAACATAGTTTGTGTATACAGGAATTGACACAGCATCTCTTTAAATGTAAGCATCTGCTCATTAAATGGGGTAAGGACATAATTCAAGGAACAGGAATTTGAGGTTTTACAGCCGTCTTTTCAGCTCTTGTGATTTTAAAGAAGGCGTCCCACAGCCATGGTGAGGAAGTCATCATAACTTAGTCTTGCACTGCCAGATCGTGCTGTGTCCTTTTCACGGAATGCTTCTGTCATACTCTGCAGCTTAGTACACACCTGTATAAAGCCATCTAGCTGTAAGGTCATGTTGGCAGAGCGAGGTGCATATCGGGTCATCACTTGCTGCGTAAACTGTGGACTCAGACTGTATCCCATCTGGGAAAGAGCTGTAAAGAGATCACACCAACAATGTAAGCAGTTGACCATAAGGAAAAGCAGATATATTATCACATACAGTGTATAAAATGGATCAGTCTACATATCTGATCAATTTATATACGGTAACTATCCAGTGATTTCTCAGGAAAGATGGGTCTGCATGGTCATTGTAGTCATCTAGTTGATCAGTCTGGTTACAGAAAAAAAATTGAAGGACTTCTGCATAAACTGCCGCTACAATGTGATTTGATATTCATCTATGTCGGTTTTATTTAACAAAAAAAGGCACTAACATTTTATACTGCCAATTTGTTGTTAATTGATTTGCAATAGCTGACATTTGTTTTAATAAATGTTCAGTTTGTGGGAGGTTCACAAACGCCCAAAAAAGCAAATTGCAAATATTAATGCAAACTCAGAGAAGTCAATGAGAGGTGAATTTTGAAAATCAATTTGGGCAATTTTCAAGGCTAATGGGAAAGGGATTGTCAAATAAAGAGCATATGAAGCAAGTCACTGCCACAAGTACAATTTACCAATATGAAAAAAACCCATGAGGGACAAGTACCAATGCAAAGAAGTATTTAAAAAAAAAAAAAAAGAAAATGTTCAGTTGGGAACAACTTAAAACAAAACAAGAAACAGCGTGGGGTTATCCATAAAAATCCACACCAGACCCTTATCCTTTATGATTATCAGGTATAGATTTTGAGGAAGACCCTATATAAAAAAAAACAGTGTAGAACTGTCAGATACAATTACAGCGTGGGGTTATTCCTAAAAAGATCAATAATTGACCCTTATGCTTAATGATGGTCAAGTATAGATTTTAACCACTTGACCTCTAGAAGGTTTTACCCCCTTCATGACCAGGGCATTTTTTGCTATCCAGCACTGTGCTACTTTATCTGTCAATTACTCGGTCATGCAACACTGTACTAAATGAAATTTTATATAATTTTTTCACACAAATAAAGCTTTCTTTAGGTGGTATGTAATCATTTATTTTTTGCTATATAAACGCAAAAAGACAGAAAATTTTTAAAAAACACCCCACATTTTTCTGTTGTAAATTGTTGCAAATATATAATCTTTCTAAAGTTTTAGTCCAAAAGACCAATCAAAGCAGCCTTTTACCACCTGATCAGCCGTGTCCAATGACACGCTGATCACTGGGAAATGCAATTGAGGGTTCTCAGCTGCACTTTCCTCACACTGTCAGAGCATGAGGAAAGTACTGCCGAGAACCGGCAGTTGTCAGAGCAGGGATCGGCACCGATCATCAGTGCCCTGATGATCGGTGCCCAGTAGTGCCACCCACCAGTTCCATCTACAAGTGCCCAGCAGTGCCACCCACCTGTGCCCAGTAGTGCCGCCCACCAGTGCCGCCAGTCAGTGCCCAGTAGTTGCGCCAGTCAGTGCCGACTATCAGCACCCATCATGAGTGCCGCCTATCAGTGCAGCCTCATCAACGCACATCAGTGAAGAAGAAAAAGTACCTGTTTGCTAAATTTTATAATAGAAACAAAGAAACTTTTTTTTTCAAACTTTTTGCTCTTTTTTTGTTTATAGAGCAAAAGGTAAAAACACCCAGCAGCAAGTAAATACCACCAAAAGAAAGCTCTATTTGTGAGAAAAAAAAAAAAAGATAAAAATGTCATATGGGTACAGTGTTGCATGACTGAAAATTGGCCTGGTAAGGAAGGGGGTATAAGTGCCCGGTAGGCAAGTGGTTAAATCACATAGGACAAAAAGTCCCCTATGTGATGATTTTTGGTGACAGGTTCTCTTTTGAGACAAGCAGGGTCTTAGAAGTGATGTCACTTCCGGGAGCCCGGAAGTGACATCACATCTGGATCAGGAGAAGAAGGGGAGGGGAGCAGATGTGTCCGCTCTTCTCCTCCCTCCCCTATACCACATCCCCCCGGCACCCACCGAAGCAGTCTCAGGTCCGCAGATGGGCAAGCGGAGCCCGGGACATATAGCGGGGGAGAGGCTGACACTGTGGGCTGTATTGAAGCAATCAGGCGGCAGAGCTGCTTCCACCTGACAGGTGAGCCCTGCTGCTTGCCTGCAGCAGGGCTACGGGCAAAAAAAAACAAACAAAAAAAAGCAAAAAAAAAAAAAACCACAAAAAAAAAAAAAAAAAAAAAAAAACCTACCTGCCCGGCGCCCGGAACTACATGTCCCAGGCGTCGGGCAATAGGAGTTGGACATCCCTGCATTGTCAGCTGTGAGGCCTTTTATACAGAGGTGTGTTTCTTTCCAAATATGTAGTATCAGGCTGCAACATAACAAAACTGAAAAAAGTGAAGGGGGTCTGTATGGGAATGGTTGAGTTTATCTATGAATATTGCACCACAGTATGCAACATGCTTTCCTTGTTTCTGTCTCAGTATGTAATCATTGTGATGCCTAGTGAAGGTTAGGTCACAGCTGCCAAGCTGCATCCTCTGCCTTAAAAAAACAGACATGATTATTCGGTATCCAAACTAAATCTTTACAGCGCTGCTTGCTACAAAGTGCAATGAATCACTGTGCAACAATGCAAGACAAAACACATTGAACAATATCCAAATAAAGAAAAAGTCCACTAAATCATATATTCTGTGTCACCATGTGGCTAACATAAAATGTCCGCGAGAGTTAAGCACAAAAAAAAGCGTTTCCATGCGATCTTCAAAAAACACCACCCTGTGTTCTTATGTTATTTTCCAGTGCTCCTCCACCACCGACACAGAGAACTCACCAGATAAATATGACCACCTACTGTTGCCTAAACCCTTAAAAAGACCACCTTCTACCACAAAACTATAGGCCCATTTCTGTGATGAATAATGATTTAAAGATATTTAGTCGTATATTAGCGGACAGATTGGCCCCGATTATCTCTTCCTTGGTCTCATCTGATCAATCGGGATTTATTCCTGACAGGCTTATCACAGATAATATACGTCTCACGTTGAATGTTATTCAAGATGCTAACCTGCACTCTAAGAAGGTGTTATTAAGCCCAGACATTAACAAGGCCTTTGATAGTTTCCTCTGGCCATATCTGTTTTCGTTGTTGCAGAAATTTTGTTTTAGTGACAAATTTCTTTCCGGTGTATGGGCTTTCTATAAATTTCCCCAAACGAGGATTAGACTCCCGGGCTGTAATTCTGACTTTTTTACCCTGGGTAGAGGCACCTGACAGGGTTGTCCACTCTCTCCCCTACTGTTTGCGCTTGCTTTGGAACCCTTGGCTATCGCTATAAGGTCACATGCTGATATTTCCGGGTATCCGCTCTTGGTTTCACAGTTTAAAGATATGTATGTATGCTGATGATGTTATGCTTTTACTTAACAACCCATTAGTATCCTTGCCTAATTGATGCAATCTGTTGAATGATTTTGCATCCATATCAGGTCTCTAAATTTCTCTAAATCTGTTCTTATGCCTATTAATTTTACTGAGTCTTTAGGGGAATCCCTCCGTGGTAATTTCCCGTTTCGGTGGACCACGCATCGGTTTCTATACCTGGGTATTTACCTCACACCCAAGTATTCGGAGCTATTTGCAGCCAGTTACCCACCATGTGTGTCTCGTCTCTGCACTTTGCTTAAGATCTGGAATGGGTACCCTATCTCGTTTCTGGGTAGAGTCACAGCTGTGAAAATGCACATCTTACCTAAACTCCTCTATTTATTCTGAGCGCTCCCATTGTAGGTCTCTAAATCGTATTTGGATCACTTTCAAAGAGTGATTAATAAACTTCATTTGGCAAAATAGACATCCTCGTTTTACCACGCTTGTTCTATATAAATACCAAAATTCAGGGGGGCTTAGGCCTTCCCACCTTTTGGCTTTATTATCTATCTGCTTGTTTTTCTCTGTTAGCACAATGGGGAACTGTTAACTCCCCGACATCCTGGGTCAGATTTGAATCTCAATCTATGCGCCTGTTTTATTTACTGGGTTTATTGTGGTCAAATACTCCCCCTCATTCGCTGTTGACTTATAATTTGATTGTGTTCCACTCTTTGGCACTTTGGTCCGGTTACAAATCTAAATTGGGTCTTATCTCTCCAGCCCCACCGGGTTTGACATTTTTTGGTGATCCGCGTTTTCCTATCGGGTTTTCGGCTCCACAGGCTTTTCGTTGGTGGTATGACCGCGCTCTTACTAGACTATCAGATTTTCAGCATGTGGCTTTTATATCCCGATATGCTACGTACAATATTTGATATCCCGCTTCGTGAACATTTTCGCTATTGGCAAATTCAACACTTTTTCAGTTCCCACTTTGATTTGACGCCCTTGTCCCCGATTATGACTCGCCCGGGGGTAGGGGTCTTATCTCAGATTTATATCGCTCCTTCTTACAGATCATTTTTCCCTTGCTTCCTTTGTATAGACAGTAATGGGAGATTGAGTGTGGGGTTACGTTTTCTGATGAGGACTGGGTTTCTAAGGTGGAGAATATACGGAAGAGCTCTAGATCTCTTTCAGTCCATGAGACGGCCCTGAAGGTTTTAACTCACTGGTACTATACCCCCTCTAGACTTCATGTCATGTTTCCGGGTACATCGCACCTTTGCTTTAGGGGGTGTGGGTTGGCTGGTACCCTTGTACATGTATTTTGGGCTTGTCCTGGTCTTTCCTTGATCTGGTGTAGGATTTCAAAGGTGGCTTCCACTTTGGCGGTTTCTCCGGTGGATTTATCCTTGCAAATTTGCTTATTGGGTGTATCACTTTCGGGGATCCCAGTTAACCAAACGAGGCTAATTCACACTATCTGCAATTCCACTCTATGGGCCTTTGCCCTTTATTGGAAGTCTCCAGTGGTCCTTTTGGCTTCTGTCTTACGAAGAGTTGATACGGTTATGCTTATGGAACGTATTCAATATACGTTGCTGGATAGGATGCATTTATTCAACAAAAAATGGGATGGTTGGAGAACGCATTGACTCTTATTATTCGATTGATGGTCTATCATGGGTTGTTTTGTATCAAACCTTTTATTGA